GGGGGGGGCTTACCAAATTACAGACAAAGTGGTAGGAAATTATCAATGGTTATTGTTTTACATATTGTTATCTACAAGATAGTTTCTCAGGAACACAAATAGACAAATATTAGTGAGTTACAGACAGAAGAGGTAGGAGATTATCGATAGTTGTTGTGCTATACACTGGTATCTTCAAAGTGGCTTCTAAAGAAAATAAATAGAGCTATACATGAGTGACCTATTGAATAATCATTAGCTATTCTCAATGGTTGTTGTAGGAAACACATAATAATAAACATATCTCAATTTACAAAATAGGATAGGAACAATACAAACATTACAGAGTTATGGATAGATTAGTAGGAAAATATCAATGGATGCTATAATACATGGTGGTATCTTCAAAGTGGTTTCTCAGGAAGACAGAGATACACAAGAAAGATCTAACAAGTAGTTACAGCCTAAAGGTTGTCAAAAATAGCATATTACCTCCTCACCAGTGACTCCTGTCACAGGTGTGACGGCTGGAAGAAAGGCCAGGATTGAAAAGAAGGACAGAGAGACTTGCACCTGTGTCAAACAACAGGCTGTTTTCTTGTTCCTCCATAGTCATGATTACCCGGGGTTCCTCCATGGAGATGACAGTCTGGCCAGATGGAGAAGACAGAGTATGCCCCGGGCCCCCTCATTCCTGTTGGACTAACTGGTAGGATGGGTCTGGGCTCTGGGACCTCCGCTTCAGAGGGCGGACCAATCTCCAATTAAACCTTGGTTTTTAATTACCATTTTCTACAACGTGACACTTGAAGTCATTGGAGGACTTCGTGACCAGAGGAGAAAAAAGGATAAAATGGTTCTGAAATATCTTGTAGTACCAAAAGGAAAAGAAATATTCACAATATGACAGCAGCATGTCAAAAAGACATAAAACAAACACAAAGGTCTCTCAGCCTCTCAAAGAAAGTGAGCAACAAAATAAATGACAGTTCTGGGTTATACTCCTTAGAACAAAAATAAATAATCAAAATTCCATGCTGATTCAAATAAATAACCTGACAACTAAGTCAGGGAGAAGAGTTAGTTGATCCTCAGTACAATTTCAGTAAGTAAAAGTGAAATAAATGACAAAGGTAAAAGAATCACAATTTGACAAACACCATAGTAATAGTTTTTGGAGCAATGTTATTAATGAATACTAAAATTAATGGAATACTAAAATTAATAAAATTAATTAATGGAATACTAAAATTAATGGAAAATAAAGTGAGATATTGACATAGTCTCAAAGTATTTTTCTAAAAGAACATTCATTACAAAGAGGAAAATAATGTCTTTGCAATAAAAAATTGGTCAGACACAAGTTTAGCCAAGGGATCATTACTAAAATTAACACCACCAATTATGGCACTTATCAGCATCCTAACCTTTCATTACAGTGAGTAAGAAGGACACGAAGTCACTTCTATGGTGTTCTTGCCAAAAATGCACGGCCTGACCTTCAGCACAAGGAAACATCAGACAACCACAAACTGAGAGATATCCTACAAAACAATGGCCGGTGTGCTTCAAAAGCACTGTAGACAGAAAAAGCCCTGAGGAATAGTCACTCACCGGAGGAGACAACTGAAACAGGACGAGTAAACGCCAAGCAGTGTCCCAGCTTGGATCTCATTCCAGAAAACACCACTCCAGTGTGATATCCACAGCAGTGTGTCATGCAAGACTGTTCACGTGTGGGAAAGCTGGCTAAAGATTATGGGAACCCTGTATTGCTTGCATTACTTTTTTAAAGTTGAAAATTATTACAAAATTAGAAGTTAGGTAAACTTTTTCCTTCAAAATAGAAGCTGAAGCAGACATGACCTTATGTCTATACTGCCTTAAGATGCAGTCCAAACTCTTAAAAATATGAATTTCAGATTCTTCAAACCGCATAATAGACAGTCCTGGTCCATCCCTACCTTTTTGAGCTGTAAGGGCCCTCCAGTCCGTGGAATTCAGCTCTTCCTCAAGCAACTTTCCTCATAATTATTTCATTAGTGCCTCCTCCTCCAAAACCTAAGCTTCACAGGATTGGAGACCATGTGTCATTGTAGACCATGCGCATGATACAGCATGCAACGTACAGGAAGCACTCAATGAACACTCACTGAACAAATGATTGACTAGGGGGCCACCAAGGGCCACCATTCCTTGAGCTCAAACTCAAGGATTCAAACACCTCTGATTCACCATGTCTCAGGTATACCTTTTCAATTTTTTGGAATATGCCCAATTTACATTGGGACCTACTCGTAATTAGCTAGTCCTATAGTCTGCTTGTTCACTAGGTTTATTAAGCAAATACTTAGGCCTTATTTCTACCCAGGCTCTGGGATGGAGCCAGGGAAACTCCTAAGCAGAGATGGAATAACCTGTTCATCCCAACTCTTCAGGACCTTTCTTTAGCGCCTGGAGACAGTTTAGTTCACAACAGTTTAGTTCACAAGGACAGAATCTGCAATCAGATGTAGGTGCCCATCATAAAAATTGTAATGAGAGGTAGCATTTCCTGCAGTTCACGTACACAAGACACAGGGCTATGCGTTTTCCCTATGTGGTACCGTGTGAATCTTAAATGCCCTCTGAAGGCCCACATGCTAAGGCACAGTCCTCAGGGTGGCTCTATGGCGCGTTATGGATACTTGAAGAAGTGAGGCCCGGGGAGATCTTTAGGTCTTTGAAGGCTGCCCTGGAAGGGACTGTGGGATCTCAGCCCCCTCCTTGCTCTCCTTTACTCCCTGGCCATGATGTGGGTAACTTTGCTCTACCACACACTCCTTGTGATCACCACCTGATGCCCCCATCAGACCCTAAAAGTAATGGTCTCTCCAATTGTGGACCAGTACCTCCAAAACTCAACAGAACACCCTTTTCTCTTTATAAGTTGATTATGACAGGTGTTTGTTAGAGTAGTGGAAAGCTGCCTAACACATCACATGTCCTGTTTAATCCTCAGAAAACCCTAGCATTACTGCCATTTTTAAAAGGGGGAACGAAAGCATAAAGAGATTAACAGACTCTCCACAAGTCACACAGCTAACGAGTGGAATCAGGCCCGAATCTCTGGCTGTTACAGAACTCCTTAAAACTGTGCTTTCTCGATCATCTCAATGAGGCCAACGTTGTCCTGGCTGTGCAGATGTCTAACTAGGAAAGGCTTCTTAAGAGACCACTGCTATGAGGCTCTCCTCTGGCTGTCTGTCATATCAGCATCTGCTATGCATTGTGAATAGTGTCTGCACACATCATCCCTGGTGTTGAGCATGGCTGGTGGGTGGCTGCCTGGTAGGAATTTGAGACCCAACAGGTTAGCAGGGCAGGACCTGGCAGACGTATGAGCAGGAGAGAACCTTCTGGGTGGGGGCCTTAATTACACCCAGGCAGGAAACCTACCCCACCTCTAGGCACAGTTCCTTTTCTGGGGCTCATCTGAGAGACAGGGCTGTCAGCTGCATGAGGCTTGGGGCTAGTTTTAGAAGAGTAAGACTTCTACTATATTTCCCCCAAAATAAGACCTAACTGGAAAATAATCATCTTTGAAAACTAAAGATCAAAAATGCCAGCCCCAATCACTTTGCCTTACCTGCCACTACACAGCAACCATGGAGCGAGAGAATAGCAGGTGAGGTGTAAGCTGCATGACACTGACTATCACCATGCTAATGACCAGCTCTTACTTTTTGGGTAGGTCTTATTTTTGGGAAAACCCAGACTCTTCAGTTTCCTGCTCACCTTCCTGCTAGGGATTCATTTTGAGTGAGTCCCCAAGGAAATTACTTCTACGCCTTCCCCTCCCCTTGCTCTTGGTAGCATGGCTTCACCATGAGCAAACTTCCTCACTCCAAAGGAACTCAACCTTCGGGTCCTATTTCCCAGCTCTTCAAGAGGGGAAACGCCAAAGGTTACAGCACAGCAGGTTGTCACACTTGGTTCTTCCTCCCTGTGACAGTTGTGTGCCTGGAGCAAGCCTCTTGACATCTCAGACACCTTTCCCTGTTCTCAGAGATTTTAATTTCATTTTATCAGTACATGTTTGCAGTACCTAATGGTTACATTTACCACAGGGAGTTGGTATCACAGAGTGGTTTTGAGACTTACATGAGATCCATGTCTATAGGTCTTTTCAGGGTGCATGTGTTAGTAACTCTACTTCTTCTTCAGCACAGATAGAAACCCGGAGCAGCTCTGCATGAAGCTGCTGGCATGACAATAAGCATCTGCACAGTGAAAGGTGGAAGGCATTGGTTTTGCTGCATTGAGAACCCAGCTGTTCTTCAGGAGCTGGGCATCCCAGACAGGACCCACAAAGCCTGAACCCTCTCCTCACTTCCACTTCAACTCACCTTTACTGAGCCCCTGTTATGAGCTGAGCTAAGCATTATCACATCCAGTATCTCATTTAATCCTCAGCTCTCTCTCTCTCTCTCTCTCTCTCTCTCTCTCTCTCTCACACACACACACACACACACACACACACACAGGCTGACAGAATTCCCCTAAGTTGCTCAAGTTCATAAGTTAGTAATAAGTAGATTCATGAACTTAAACTTGGGTTGGCTGTCACCAAGGCCAGTGCTGTAGCAACATACAAATAACTTAGCAGACACTTCAAACAGCCTGAGACCTAAGCAAAGGTAGAATCACCTGCTTTATATATGAGACAAATAAGTGTCCAACAGTTTATGGGGCTGTAAGTTTCCAACAGTTTATGGGGCTGTAAGAATAAACTAAAGGCAAGAATCCAGGCCTCTGGTTTGGTGCATTCTTTATTCACTCATTCATTCATTCATTCATTCATTCATTCATTCATTCATTCATTACTGTTCTCTGACTTGTAGCTGTCTACCCAGTATGGAAAAGCACAGATGGGGTCAGGGATGGTGGCGCACACCTGTAATCCCAGCACTCAGGAGGCTGAGGCAGGAGGATCATTGCGAGTTTGAGGTCAGCTTGGGCTACAAAGTGAGCTCAAGGCTAGCCTGAACTGCATAGCAACACCCCGTCTCTGACAAAAAAGAAAAAAAAAAGGAAAAGCACAGATGAATAAGACAGATCCAGATCATGGCAGAGCTCATAGCCCAGTGAAAGAGACAATGACGTGCAGTTATAGTAAAGACAGTAAGGATACAGAGCCATAGAGTGGTGTTGTAAGAGAAGATGGGAAAAGCCTGGGAGAAAAGCTGTTGCACACAGAGGAAACAGTTCAAGCCAAGAAAATGTGGAAGAGCACAGTATGTCTGGAGAACTGTCTTTAATGTACTGTACCAAAGAAGGAAGCCAGAGAAGCAGGCAGTGGGAGACTGTGGAGGACTCGTGTGCTATGTTATTCTGCAGGCAGTGGAGAACCAATGGTGGCTTTAAAGTAGGAAAATGCTAGTATCAAATTGCATTTTACAAAGGCTCTGGCCAACACGAAGAAGAAGGGAAACCAGGTCAGAAATTTTACCAGCCAAGGATGCATTTGGCTGCAAGGAACAGAATACACTATAGCTTAAATACAAGGAAGTTTCTTTTTCTTCCACAAGAAGTCTGAGGTGAGGTGGCCCCTGACCTTGGTCTGGACTGGAGGCTCTGGGATTTTCTCTGCTTTTCCCTCAGTAACTACAAGTGCTGGGGACCACAGACTCACAATGGCCAATTTTGCATACTTCCCTAAGGGATAAATCGGGGCTTGGGATTATTGGTATCACCCTTTTAAAATTTCTCATGAACTCTTTCGTGATGGGCCTTCCTCTCCCACCCACTAAGACTAAATTAAGACCATTAAGAAGAAAAAACACTCCAGCGAAAGATCCTTCTTAACATGGGGTCATCTCCACCCTGTTGAATCATCCCAGGATTATCCATCACTGCTGAGTCATGGACCTCTGAGGCTTCCGCCACCTTGACTCTTCCTCTAGCCCCTCCTCTCACCGTGTACACCCAGTCAGTGTGGCTGGCACTGACCTCCCAGCACCCCTTCATGTGTTACTAAATTTGTCTCTGTCTCTTATTTCATCCTTTCTCCATACCCCTCATACAAGCAGTTGGCGATCTTGGCCAGGTCCCCCATATACAAGATGGTGGCTCCAATCTTGCTGTTGATATTTAAGAATGAAGAATGGCAATAAAGAATGGAAGTTGTATTCTGCCCCCCTTTTTAATCGGAAAACAAAATCTTTCCCAGAAACTTTCTGACACCTTCTCTTAAGTCTCATTGCAGAAAGAACTGTCACAAGCTACCTCCAGCTTGAAGGGAGCCTTCCCCCTTGCAAAGCCATCTGGGAGGAAGGGGCCAGGTCTGAGGATTCTGTTGGCTGATCTACAGTGTCCCAATCAGTCCCATGAAAATGCGGTGAGTGTAACAATTCTAGACATGTTCACGAAGCTCACTAGCGGCTGGAGGCTGATAGAATATAAGGAGTGAAGGACAAAGAGGAGTTCAAAATGACACCCATGCCTGGACAGGCAGACAGAATTCAGTCTGGGACATAACTGAGTTTCAGGTGGCTGTGAGATTCCCAGGGAAGAAAGACTAAGGTTACAACTCCAGAGGGAGAGACACAGAAACTGGAGTCACTACATGTGGGTAATAGCTGACCACGAGCAAGGACGAGGTTGTCAAGGGGCGGGGGTGAGTGGGAGAAGAGCCGGCGTCCTGGGTGAGTCTCTAGAGACACTGGCATCTAAGGAGGCAAAGAAAGAGAAGTCTGTGGAGAAATCTGCTCCTCCAATTTCTCCACAGTCCCTCCTGTGTCTAGTATCTCTCACGTTAAAAAATTAGAATCAACAAACCAAACAAAAAAATGAAAAACCTTTCTAACCCCACAATTTGGAGAGCAAGCCTGTCCAACGGACTTTCTGCGATGATAACAATTGTGCATCTGTTCGGCCCAGGTCAGCATGCACTCGCCATGGGCAGCTGTCAAGCACCTGGATGCTCAATGTGGTGGAGGAACTGAAGTTTTAACTTTGTTTCATTTTGCTTGTCTGCATAGCACTCACCACTATCTAATCTTCTCTATTTGATTGCTTTGCTTATTTTATTTGCTTTCTCTTTCCCTTTACCAAAAGGTAGTGTGTGAGAGCAAGGGCTTTTTCCATCTTGCAGAATTCTTGTCATATAGCAAGTGCTCATTAAATATGTTTAACGAATGCATAAAAGGGGTTCTCTGTAACACAGAAAGGTGAGTTAGGAGTTCCTCTTACTCCATCTTCTCCTCTCCTGTGCCTTTCTTTGCTGACCTAGAATCTCTTCCACTTTCAAGCACTACCCTTGGGAGAGGTGTGGCCACAATCAAGTGTTTAGCAAACATTTAAAGAACAGGGTGTGTTGTACTCAGGCTGTGAGTGGAAAGAGGACACTCCCAGGTCATGGGGGAGTCACAGATTCTGCCCTCAGAAAGGTTCTGATGTGGGGGATGAGAAGGTATAAAAACCCCTCACCCTGAGACAGGAAGCTCTCAGTAAATGCGTCACAAGGGCCTGTCCCAGGGTTTCTCTCATCCAGAGCTGTCCCCTCTCTTCGCCCTGCGCTATTGCATTCAGAGGCCACCAAGTGAAGCCGAGATTCTGGGCAGCTGTCACCTTGGCAAGGATCCTGGTAGAGAGGGGACAATGGGCTGAGGCTTAGCTTAGGGGACAAGAGGCCTCTTTCTTTGCAGATAAACTTGGTTTCCCTTCAGGCGAAGCAAGGGCAGGACACTGTGGTGAGGATGGGACCCCGTGCTGCCAGAAGGTGGCTGTAGACTAGGGGTGCCATGTGGATCCTGACCTCTTATCGGGCTTCTGCGAATGCCCTGTGATAAGCCCCTCTCCACACCCAGCAATTTTGTCCTTGGCTCTGAAAGAGGTAGAGCTAAGGTGAGGTGAACATGTGGCCTCCAGGGGCCCCACACTAAGTATGGACTCTCCCAGCGTCCCTTACAGCCCTGGAGGTAATTCAAAATCACTTGGTTGTGGAGACACACACACACATACACACACACACACACACACATGTGCGTGCCTCCCCCCACACACACATTCCTGTAATCTTAGCTACCTAGGAGGCTGAGGAAAAAGGATCACAAATTTGAGGTCACCCTGGACAATTTAGTGAGACCTTGTGCCAAAATAAAAAAGAGGATGTAGCTCTGTGGTAGAGCACTCCTGGATTTGATTCCCATCAGAAAAACAAAAAATAAAAAAAGGACCATCCTCTCTGAGGGTTGTGGAATCTCTCCCTCCAAAAGTTTAGGATGGTCTTCCCTTCCTCTCTGCTCATGCTCAACCCCCCACAATATATTTCTTGAGATAGACAGAACACCACCTCTTGTATTGAACCATCTTATCACAAGGGAGGGTCCCTACAGTGATGCCACACCCCAAAGGTGAGCAGAGTCCACTGTGGGAGAAAATCCACTCCCGTGCCATCAGCACGAACTTTTTTCTCCTCTAACTTGACAAAGGAGAGATGCTACGCGGAAGCTTTGCCAGGAAGAGTTGGACTGGCTGCTATTGTTTGGGCAATTTGGATTTTAGGGAAAAGAACAAAGAGGAAGAGTCAGGGCTGAAGTCAGGTAGGGACAGCTGTGGAGAACAAGGACAGGCACAGGCCTCAGTGGGAAATTCTCAGTCCTGTGCGGCTCATGCCATGAAAATGAAGGTGCATAAGAACAGAGATGTGCCCCTTCTCCATCCCTTGGGCGTCAGCACCACTGCTGCCCTTGCTCTGGCTGCGCCACGCACAGCATAGGACCTCAGCCAAGCTGGTGCATGGAGCTGAGAGAAAGACGGTGGGCCCTGGGACAGGAGAAGGCAGTGGAAGCTAACAAGGAGGAAGGATTCTTGTTCTTCTGTCCCTGGTTGAGGAAGGCAGGGTGCAGGACACTGAGTGCCTGAGGGGTGGAGTGGACAAGGGGGGCCCTAAGAAGTCTTGCCACAGGTGGGTGCCACTCTGGTGCCCCCATGCTTCCCACAGGCTCTGCCATCTCTCCCCACCATCATCATCAGCGTAAAGACCCTTGCGACATGAAACTACCCACTACCCTCTGTGTCTTCTGATAACCCCTTCACCATTTTCCTCAATCAGTCAGTGTTGTTCTGGCTGCCTCATGGCCTTTTGCTCGCCATAAACAACTGGTCAACCCAGTTCCCCACTGCACTGCCATTTTGTCTCTTGCTCTTTCTTTTCACCGTGCACTGTAACACCTGGCAGGACAATGGGGACTCACTGCAGGGGTCCCCGATAAAGGCGTTGGCTGGGCTTGCCAAGGTTGTTGTAGGTGTAGACCCATTATGTGGTTACCACTAATTCTTGTCCTGTAAAAATTTGACCATTTCCAATGTAGCACCTCTACCCATATGGAAAGAATCATAAAAGATTTTATAGCCTTCCACTGTGTCCCCTGAGGAAGGAGCAGTTTGTTTTCTAAGGGTCCCCTAAAATCCCCCTTTAATTCTCCCTTGTCCTAAGGCTAATCTGTCTTACTGTGGGGTATAGACTGGTTTTAGTGGTTCTTTGGGAACTAGGAATAAGGCTAGGGTCTTCAGGGGCTCTAAGGCTGCACTTCTATCAGCCCTTTGATTTCCCAGAGAGTTGTTTTGAGTTCCCAAAGAGACATGTCTCTTTGATGTACCTTGTAATGAATGACAGCAACTTGCTTGGGAAGATAGATGCCTCTAAGAGTTATAAAATTTCTCTCTTGTGCTTTATAGATGACTGTCTATTAGTGAATGAACCCCTTTCTTTTCAGATAGTTGCATGGGTAAGTAGCACTAGAAAGGCATATTTGGAGTTTATATAGATATTTAGCTTTTTGCCTTTTCCTAACATCAGTCAAGAGCTACAAGCCCTGCTTTTTGAGTAGAGGTCCCTGGAGGAAGGGGTTTGGTCTGAATGACCTGTTGTAAAGTGACAACTATATAACCTTGCTTTTGATGTCATTTCTGGACAAAGCTACTTCCATCAGTGAAACACATCCTCTCAGGGTCTTGGAGGGGCAGGTCACTGATGTCCTCTCTGCTTGCATAGGTCTGGGAAATCACCTGTTCACAAGAGTGGCTAACCTCTGACCCTGTAGGCATCAAAAAGACAGGATTAAGAGTAGTGCAAGTGTTTATGGTAACCTCAGGGGTGTCTAAAAGCATGGCCTGGTATAGTCCCAACAGCTAAAATCTGCTTTGGCCTCTGCCAAAATTTGAGACTTCCCTCAGTTTTTCTTGTAAATCCCTTCCTAGTAAGACAGTAGGACACAGTGGGACAATCAGAACTCATGGTTGAACATCTGACCTTCAAAGTGACATATCAAAGCAAGAGTCAAGATTCTCTGACTAGAGAATCTCTCAACTCTAATAATGGTTATATATCTAGAGAAGGGCTTTCCAGAGAAGGAAGTTAAAACAGAATGAGTTTCCCCTGTATCTAACTGTGAATGGACTGGCTCACCCATGACATTCAGGGTCACCCAGGGTTCCTTGTAGGAGATGACTAGGGATGGTACAGGTTGCACTGGGCCCTCTCAGTCTTCATCGCTGTGGGAGATGGGGTTTTGGCTGTCCTATGCCCTCTCTGGGCATGGGGACCATCAGTTCTGCAGAGTGGGGTTTGGGCGGTAGCTTGGTACAGTGAGGTGCCCAGTGTTGTCTTCTTGCATTTAAAATGGAAATTTTCCCTGGGTTGTCTTGGATTTTCCCTTAGAAGAATTGCCAAATGTGACACCTGTAACTCTGGTCCTCCTCCTTTTGTCCTCATCTAGATCCTGATTGTTGAACACAGAAGAAGCCATGTCCAGCCATTGGGTCAGAGGGGCTCTGGGATCCATCTGAAGTTTTTGTAACTTGTGCCAAATATCTGTTAATAGCTGATTAACAGATGAAATGATGTCCCATCAGTTCCTGTCCCTTCTTGGAAGATGCATCTAGTTTTATATACTTTATGAAAAGTTTTAACTAATCAGCTATGGAAGAGGGCTGGATTTGCCTCTTTGCCTGTATGATCCCTCTTACCTTAGCATAATTAACAGATTGCTGATGTACCTTTCCTTCCCATGATAGAAGCAGCTATAGGATCAGACATCATTTTCAGCCCATCAGTACTATTAAATCCCAGATTGCTTCTGTTGGAGAAATAAAACCTCTCTGGGGCAGTTTCCTTCCCTTTTAAAGTATATTGTTCATCTGCATAGCTTTTAACATCTCCTAGGATTCTTTTTTTTTTTTTCCATCTGGGGTACAGCAAGTGACCAGAGTGAATTGGGCATTCACCATGCTAGGTGAAAATCAGGTGTAAAAGTTTAAAGCCCATCTGCAAACATATGAGGATCCCCTGAAAGCCAGCCTAACCATTCTTTGCATTGTTGAATATCTGCAACTAAAAAAGGAAGCTGGACTCGAATAGTCTCCTCTGCTTCTAGGACCTCCCTCAGGGGCGGGATGAGTTGGAGTGAAGTGAAAGGCATCGTTTTGTGTATGTCCAGTAGAGCTTAAAGCTGCCAGAGGAGCATGATGAAGGGGCTAAGGAATACTGAGTTCCTCTAAGGTGCTAGGCTCTGGTGGAGTTCCTGACTCACTTGAATAAAGGTGACTGATTTACTGGCCAGGGGTTACAAAGAAGAGGTCAAGGGACCACCCAGTTTGCTTGTCTTCATTAATCAGATGGGAGTAACATGGAGCAGGCAGCTACTCAAGGAGACCAAGTCACTAATAGCTGTTTTTCCTAAAAGAGTGAGATAGTTGAGCAATGAGCTGCAGAGAACAGAAACATGAAGAGTATACTAAAGTATACTAAATTCTAGGCCACACACATGGAACCCGGACAATCTGTTCTGCAACTGGGTTCATAACAGGCTCTCTGGCAGCTCTTTACTGACTGGTACCCACAATGAGTGACTGGAAAATGGAAAAGAGAAGGAAGAAAAGGACAGAGAAACTTGAGACAGGCCTGTGGGCCTCTTACTGGCTGGGAAAGATGCAGGGCCATGTGCTTCCCCTCCCCTGTCCCACATGGTGGGGCACACTAGGAAACTGTGCCTGGCACCATGAGAAAGTTTTCTGATTATTTTTATCGCTCTCTTGTTCCCTGCCTCTCCCAATAACCAAAAAGATTCCAACCCTCTGAAGGATGAAAGCCTGTCCTAAGAGAGAAGGGGATTGCACCTTTGCTAGAGAAAAGAAAAAGGGAAGGAAAAAACCTTCTCAGCCATAGATTTTAGAGAAAGAAACAAAACAGTGCCCAAAAGGATTTAATTGATCTTGGCTGGTTTCATCAAACTATGTTAACAGCTTTTGGGGAGCCTTCTTGTAGAGGTGATTTCCAGGTTCTTTCTTGAACAAAGACCCGGTCAAGTAAGCACAAAGGTACTGAGGTTTTACATTTATGAAAGGTAAGAAAAGACCAATACTCTCTAGAGCCAGTTAAAAGTAGGAAAAGAAGTACCCTGTACAAGTGAAAATGGACGACTGTACAGGACAAAACACAGCGGCCAAGAGCTCAGTGGCAGCCATCTTTTATATCTCCTTCTTCTCTGGCTGATGACAGTTCTAGGTCATCCAATCAAAAACATGCTCAAGCTTTCTTGAGAACTGAAGATAGACTCTCTGATTGGTTCCAAATGCAGGACTTTGAGCAGTGCTCTTCTCAGGTGTCCTAGAACTCTGATGGATAGGTCATGCCCACTTCCTGAGCCAGTTTGCCACACCCTAATCTCCTGCCTCAACTTGACTGGCAGGAATCCTAGCTTTTGCTCTATAACTTTGCCATAGACCACTGGGGGAACTGGGCTCACCATTCTCTTCCCCCTACCCTCAGCTTCTAGCATAGTATCTGGCTTCTACTAGTTTAGGAAGTGCATATTGGGTTATACGCCCTTCTGCATATTGAGTGAATTCCTACCACAGAGGAATGAAGAGTGGCTTTACTCATAAGCCATTGTTCAAACACCTGGCTGCCCTAGGGAGAACCCACCTTTTTTCCCATTTCCTTCCAATCCTCCCCTTTAGGGAGCAGAGAATATCGCAAAAAAGTAACCATATACAATTGGGCTAAAATGATGGGAAGGAATCAAGGGTGTTTAGAATGTTCCTTAGGGTAAATTTGATGTTTAATAACGTGAAAAAATCCTCCTCTCTGGGCCCAGGGCAATGTCCTTTTTTATCTTCCTCTGGGCCTTTCTGTGGATGCTGCTCTATCTAGCTCTCCTTCAACTGTGGGAGCTCAATCTTTCTACCTCCTTCACAGTTTCCCTGAGTCATGGGCCTGGCTCTCTATCTAGGACCTTTTCTCCCTCCAGAGGGACCTACAGCCTTCCAGTGTGTTCAGGGTTGAGCAGCTATGCACAGGCAAGGGACAGTCAGCCAAAGGTGTGGTAGTCCACAGCAAGCATGTCTTTATTTTTCTTGGGAGGCTTTGGCACAAATAAATGAGAATACCTAGCCCTACTGATGTATTTTCTGTGAAAAGTAAGCTCATGAGCCATTGTGTTGGCCAATGCATAGTGTCTGCTTCCTCCTCCACAGCATGTAAAATGCACCACATTTTCAAGTTAACCAGCAGAGAAAACTGGTAAGCATTTGTTTTCATTTTCTAAACAACTGAATTTGCTGAGCGACATCTACAATTTAGAACACAAGTGTGCTACAGATGGTGAATTCCATGGAGAAGGGCAATGGGCTAGGGAAAATGTGAAAGAAGCATTTTAATCGATCTCTGTATTTGTCTGGAGGTAATTCACTTTTTGCCAAAACAGCACAATGGATTTATCTGACTTCCTTTATGGCTATTCAGCAAAGGAGAAATATAAAAGGAAGGATTCAGAGGATTGGACTAAGGATTTCTCAACCCAAAAATTTAAAGAGGGTGAGGCCTTAATAAATGAAGGACAATGACAATTAATTGGAATGATAAACAGAGAGAAAAGGTGGATGACAAACACGAGTGTAGGATATTGTTCTGTGAGTACATCTGTCCAGTCCTGGGTGGGGAAAGACCCTTTGTCTCTGGCCCCCCACTGGTCTGCCCACCAATGAGTACTTGCTATGTGCCAGTCCTGTACTTTCCAACACATATGAACTCATCTAACCCTTGTATCTCAATGTGATAACTTCAGTCCTGGAAGGCCAAGCTCTAGCATGAAGTCTGTGTAAACTAAATGAATTAGTTAAGAGTTTAAATAAAGATGTGCCCTTGTGGGCCATAGAGGTGCCTTGCAAGCCTTTGCTGAGTCTGAGTATTAGGTCCTTAGTAAGTATGAATTAAATTGAATGTAATTTCCTCACACACAATACCAAAGCTATTATAGTGAGTAGAACTACAATATGCTTAGGGGGCATGCAGTCCATCAGAGTATGGGATAGATATTAAATAAATAGCAACAAGTAGCCTCCACTCCTGAGCAGCTCTCCTCTGGGTGCATACCTGTCTAACCCATTGTCTTATCCACTCTCTTCCTTCTAATGGGACAGCCAGACTTGGGCTGGGGAAATGCAACCTCCACCCTACTCTGAAGTACAGGCTAAGCTGCAGACTTGTTTGAGCTTGTCCTGTGCTGGCTTCAAAGCAGAGACCCACCCTGCCTGGCTCAGAGTGGCTTCTCTGCATTCCTGTGCCCACGCTCACTCAGGAGGGCTGGGGCAGAGGCGCAGCCTTCCTCTGCCTCTTCTGCCTGGACCACTGACCGCAGCCCAGCCTGTACTTATACAACCGGAGCCCAGGGCATTGCTCCCTCCTCCTGCTGGGGCTGGGTGGCTTCTGGAGGCAGGGCTGGGAGGTAGGTTCTGGGTTACACTGTGGAAATGGGAGCCAATGTCCATCTCCTCTAGCTTTACCCATGGAGCCAGTTTGAACACCCCAGATCAGACAGATCCTCCAACACTCACTGCTCAGTATTCTTCTCTGCTGATATGAAACACTGGAGTGATCCTTTGCTGGGGTCAAGGGCCTTTAATTTCAACCTGCTACTCTATCCCCACTGTGGACAAGCCATAAAATCTCTCTGGGCTTTCCCCAACCATGAAAAGGAGAAACGATCTCTCCTGTTGTGTGCCTCACAGGATAGAAAGACCAACTGAGAAGAGTATTAGTAACAGTACTGGTGACAATAATAGTAATTTGTGTCTGGAGTGACTCTTACCTGATTACCAAAGCACTGAACAACCTTGAACTGGAGTACATGGATGCTGAGTCTGAGTATTAGTTCCTATTAGGAACAACCTTGAACTGGAGTACATTGGATGCTGTCATGAGCAAGTACTACAGCTAACAGGGTGATGTCCCCAGCCCAGTTTGCCTTCCTGCCCCCAACTCCTATGTCATGGAGACTGGGACAGAGGTTCAGCTCCTCTCACAGTTCTGTTACCCTGGATTAGAGATGTTTCCCTGCTCCAAGGGCTATACCACCTCTCTCTTGTCTGAGACACACTGGTCCCAAAGCTCCCTGTGACTAAAATATGAGACATTTCCAGGGGAAATGGGTGGAACTAATGGAGATCATTATCAGCTCAGAAATGGCAGCGCAACTCCCTGAGCAGAATTGAAACCAAAGCCTAAAGTTAGGAAGATTCCTGGAAGGATCTAACACGCTGAGAGCAGGCAAAAGAAATATACTAAGGCCCATAAGAGGAAAACGTATTAAGTAACTATATGTGCCATACAAGTCCCAAACTCTCCTCTTTCTCCAAGGTCTCCTCCCTCCCAGGGTTTTCACTGAGGTGTTTCCTATACGAAAGAGTGTGTGTTTAAGCCAAAGAAACAAATCTGTAAGAACACACAGACCTACATTAAAGCCCAATTAACCAAGACCACTAGGCTGAACAAGCCAGACTCACTGATTCAGTGCAGCAGGAGAGGACTCCAGAGGGACGGCAGAGTGCTCAACAGGGCAAGGAGGAGAAACATCTCTTGTGGGGTTTGGGTTTCTGCTACAGGATTTGGAGGAGAGTCTGGGGCTCAGGGCTGAATTGGTAGCCATTTCTCAAGCAGAATTAGAATGGGTAGGAATTAACTAGGATTGGACGCTGTCATGAGCAAAGCCAGTCGAGCAATTGGCTACCCTCAGGAATAGGACTGTTGAGCAGAGTGGGTCTGCAAGCATCATAGTTAGAAAGCAGGGGTGCTCACAGAGGCCGCATAACACTTCACAGCTGCTGCCTAACTTTAGAAGAAGCAACACTTCCTGTTAACTTTGTAGCTGGGTTTATCTGAGGCTCTCCATCCCACTTCAGTATGGCAGGGCTGCTTCTTTTTTATTTTAAAGAAAATAGTACAAAAAAAAAAGAACAATAGCAAAATACAAACAACACAAAGCAAGGACATTAAAAATGACATGGTTTCAAACCAAATGATAGAGATTAACAATGGTTGTTATATTACATATTGTTATCTTCAATGAAGTTGCTCAGATTACCAGATGTAAGAATAGGCGATTGATCAAATATTAAAGGAAATAAGAAAATAATAATTTAAAAGAACATTAGAGACCATACATAGTGTCACTAGGCAGGATTGTAGGAATTCACCAATGGACGTTATACTGCAAATTGTTGTCATCATATAAGTTGCTCAGATTACCAGATACAAGCATGCAAAATTGGTCAAAATATTTAAAAAAAACTTTCAATCATTAATTGTTCCCCTCAACAAACCTTCAGACACCAACATGGGCTGCTTTTTAATTTTCCATTCTGAGTGGATCTTTACTCTTCAATTTGATACAGAATTTACATTCTTTGACAGAGCACCATTGCTTAGGGAAACTTCAAGTGGGATGGCCTACGCATGCTCACATCACAGGATGCCCGGAGACATAGCCCCTCAATTCAGACAAACTGTCTGTGCTTCTGCCCCTTTCATCTCTGAGATCTCAGGCAAGTTATTCACCATCTCTGTCTCTCAGTTTCCTCATCTAGAAAATAGGAAAAGATAAGATCTCTTGCTTCACCGTTGTGAAGATTGACAAAATATGCAAAGCTCTTAGAATGATACCTTACCCTTATTAGTGTTCAATAAACATTAGTTCCTTTTCTGATTATTTTTATTTTAAAACTACTACAACTTTTAATGAAAATGACAGATTTGTTACACGTATTTTCTCCTCTTCTTTAAAGAGCCCTCTAAATTTTAATAAAGGATCAAGGTACAGCAACTCCAAGCAAGGAAGAGATAAATAGAAAGGTTAAGGGCAGCTGAGAGACATCAGTTACTCAGAAAAAATGAGGTTGATCGGGGAGGATGACAAGCAATGAAGCAGAGAACAGGAGCTAAAAATAAAAAGAAATGTATCTTTAGAAATTAGGAAATGAAAAAAAAAAAAAAAAGAAATTAGGAAATGTAGCTGGGTGTGGTAGCACATGCCTGTAATCCCAGCACTCAGGAAGCTGAGGCAGGAGGAACTTTGCAAGTTCGAGACCAGCCTGGGGTACAAAGTGAGCTCAAAGCCACCCTGAACTGCATAGTGAGACACTGTCTCAAAAAGATAAAAAATAAAAAAAGCAATTAAGAAATGTATTACATGAAGAAGTGAATACAAATGTCTAGAGAGATAGACTCTGCATATACATAGAGTTTAAACTCACTTTAAAGAGTAATATATACTGTTAATACAATACTGTGAACACCCACATGCCACTACCAAGCCAAAGAAAAAGAGCACAGTGTCACAGTTCCTTTAACATCTCTGTGCAGTTCTGTGGCCCTCCCTGCTTCCATCTCGCAATCCTGCTGAGATAACCATGGTGCCAAAGCTTGTGTTAATTCTTCCCTCCCTTTCGTTTACACTCATGCATATATGTAGTTCTTCCTAAGTGACGCATGTAGATTTTTCCTACAATTGATCTTTATATAAATGAAATATTTCACATATTCTGTGATATTTTTCATGAACATCCTGCTTCTTTTTAAATAACAGTTTCATTAAAATCTTTCATTAAGATTCAAATAACATAAAATTCACTCTTGAGAAGCATACAACCCAGTGGCTTTTCATACAGTCACAAAGTTGTGTAACCTTCACCAGCATTTAATTCCAGAACATTTTTATCGTCCACACAGCTGCGCTGATACACTCTTCATTCAGTCACTCGCCAATCCTGGCTCAGCCTGGGTGGCCTCAGGAACCACTGATCTACTTCTATAGAAGGAGATGTGTCTATAGACTTGCCTCCTGCATACATTATGTATAAATAGAATCATACAATATATAGTTCTTTCGTGTCTGGCTTCTTTCCTCTAGCATGTTTTTGAGGTCCATCCATATTGGTTCATACCGCATCAGTGCTTCATTCAACTTTATGACTGAATAATATTGCATTGTATGGACATACTATATTCGTTTCTCTGTCCTTCAGCTGACAGACATTTGCAATGTTTCCATTTTTGAGCTATTAGGAATACCACCTCTTTGCACACTGACCTATAATTTCTTACAGAGATATATGTTTTGACTTCTTAGAGAAAAACTAGGAGTGGAACTGCTGAGCCATCTGGTAACTCTACTTGTAATGTTTTTGTGGGCCTGTGGGATAGTTTGCCACAACGGGCACACATTTGACCTTCCACCCACAACACAGGAGGCTCCGGTGGTGTTTTCAGATGCTTTCGTGGTGATGTGCATGACTGTCATTGGTCCACTTTGTGTCCGTACCACACTGTTTGAACATTCTACAGCTGATGCACATTTGAGTCAGTTCCAGGTTTTGCTGTTATACACAACGCTTCTGTGACTTTCATCTAGAGGGCAACTGGTGTAGATGATCAGTTTTTTTCAAAGTACGGTCGGCCCTCTACCTGTACAGGTTCCACATCTGCAGATTCAACCGACTATGGTTTGCAAAACGTTTTTTAAATCCAGAAAGCTCCAAAGAGCACACCTTGAATTTGCCCTGTGCCAAGCACTATGCTGAATCCACAGGAATGAAGTAACGTGTGTTTGCCCTAAGATATATGCTCAACTGCTGCCCTTAAGGTACGTACCTTTCACCTTTATTTACTAATGCTGAGTTGTTTTCTAAAGTCTCTTTCTAATAACCATTTCTGTCCTTGTTGTTAATACCGTTTCACATCATCTACAACTAAAAGCATTAGCATATTTGTTTAAATCTTGGCTAATCTGATGATTATGTTATATTCTCTTATCACGTAGGTCTTTTTTCGGTACAAGGGTTGAACCCAGGGCCTTCACATTGAGCTACACTCTCAGCCTATTTTATTTGCATTTTGAGACAGGTCTTCCTAATTTGCTAAATTGCCCAGACTGGCCTTAAACTTCCAACCCTTCTGCCTCAGCCTCCCAGAGTGCTGGGGTTTCAAGCATGCACCACCTTGCCTGGCTTCATTGTGGCTTCCATACTGGCATTATTCTGATTTCTCATCATACCGAGCACCTTTTCACATGTTTCTGGATCATTTTGGTTCCTGTCCAGGGAAAAGTGAGGTGTCTTTTGCCTGTCTTCCTGTTGCTTTTGTTTGTTTTGATTTGCAGATTTAAAATAATTTTTGTTTTTTTACTTTTTATTTTTATTAGTACATGTTTGCAGTACACAACAGCTACATTCGTCATGGGGGGTTGGAGCATGCACATAACACATCTTAATTCTTTTTATTTTTCTTACTCATTTGTATCTTCCCAAGATTCCATATTCAAATCCTTTGTCAGCTATAAAGACCACTGTTATAGAACTCACTTGTATAAATCAACCTTTGCCAAAGTTAATGAATCACCATCAAACAGACCGTGTTATGTAATCATAAGAAGATGTTAAAATACAGCAACAAAAACACACCTGTCTTTAGAAAGCTTCATATTTGGAAATGTTAAGCAACCTTTGATATCTCAAAATCTAAGACAAAAATAGTATGAATTATAACAGTAAGTATACTGTTTTTTATGATAGTAAATATGCAGACACATCTACTTCTACAGAAGTAGATCAGGGGTTTCCGGGGCCACTCAGGCTGAGCCGTCTTCAGTTTGCGGCTTTTCTTCCATTTCTCCTCACGATACACTTTGACAAGCAGTGTCAGTGAATTCAAATGTAGATAATGTATTGATGTATTCAAATATATACACCTTTTCCTTTAGTTTGTAAATTATGTCTTACTTAAAAACACTTCTTTGACTTGATGTCATGAAGTTATCCTTATTTTCTTCTCAATGTTTAAAATGTTTGTCTTTTATACTCAAATTGTTATCCCACCTAGATTTTTCTTTTTTAGCTTATGAATAACAGAAAGCTGTTTCTCACAGTTCTGGAGTCTGAGTAGTCCAAGATCCAGATGCTGGCAGAGTTGGTGTCTGGTGAGGGTCCATTTCTCAGCTTATAGATGGTGCCTTCTAACCCGGTCATCGCTGTAAGGAAGAGGACTGGAATGTATTTTCGCATATGGTGAGGATTAGGGACTTGATTTTTCCCCACGAAATGAATAACCATCAGTGTCATCTGTCTCAACCTTTAAGCTTCCTTCTGTCTGTGAGGTTGTTGCTAGGCGCTTACCATGTCCCAGAGATCAATGTGCCTACCTTCCTCTAGTGTGACACAACCTCACTTACTGGAGCTTCATAATACATGCTAATATCAGAGGGAACCTTTGTCCTGCCACCACCAATAATCTGACTTTTCTTTGGGAGGGTTTTAGACATTCTGGCCCCTTTCCTCCTCCAAACAGACTTTAGAGTAAGCTTCTCACATCCCACAGAAAATAATACAATGCTTTCAATGGAAACTTCTTTAATTCTATACACTAAAATGGAGAAAGTGGATATAATCAGGAAACTGATCTTTCTTTTCTCCAAATACATTATATTTTTCTATTATTCAGTCTTCTCTAATAAATTTCAAAAGTTGTATCATTTTCTACATGGAGGTCTTATATACATCTTGTTACAGTCATTCTTAGATATTTTCTTTATAATTAGAAACTTTAAAATGATATTCTTCTGTTTATTCCTGGTATAAAATTAAAACAAATATCTGCATATTGATTTTGTCCATGGACACTTTGCTAAATTTTCTTACTAATTATAGTAACAAACTCGTATGTTATTTAGAGTTTCCCATGTGAGATTCATCTTATTGGCAAATAGAGTTTTATTTCCCCCTTTTTAATTCTTAGATACCTTCTACTCCTTCTCTTTGTCCTTCTTCCTGGTCCTCTTCTGTCTTGAGGAGCTACCTAAATGCTCCGCTGAGATCTTTATTTTGCTCCTGACTTTTAAGAAGCCATAATATTAACACTGTCATTTTTTCTTGTTGCTCATGGATCTCCTTGATTGGGTGAGGGAATTACTTTCTAGGGATAATTTCTTTTTTCGTTTTTTTGTTTGTTGGTTTGTTTTCCTGCTACCAGGAATGGAACTCACAACCTCGCACTTGCCAGGCAGGTGCTGTGCCGCTGAGCTAAATCCCCAGCGCCCTCTAGGGATAATTTCTAAGAGGTTAGTTTTATTGACAATATATAAATATTGAATGGCTTCAAATGCTTTTTCTAGCCCTATTGAGATGATTATCTCTTTAAATCTCTTAATGCAATAAATCATATGAACATGTTCTCTGATATAACTTCCTGGAATAGAGACATGTATTATTCTTTTAAACATGGCTATACTACATTTGGAATATTTTACCTAAGTTTTTCATCATATTCATGAATAAGACAGATGATTAATTTTTCTTTTTTTAATCTGTCTATAACTTGGGGATCTAGGTTTGCCTACAGTGAGTTTGGGAATATTGTCCCTCTCACTGTCTTCTATAAGTGGATAACTTATCTCTGTCTTTTGAACACCCGGTAGAACTCATGTGTGTGATTGTTTGAGCCCAATATTTTCTTTGATTCAGTTTCTTTAGTAATGATAAAATCATTCCAGCTTTCTATTTAAAGTAACAGTGATCATTATCAGTTTTTTTTTTCCTGAGAGTTTAATTTCACCTATGAATATAACTTTACAGGCATAAAGTTACTTATAGCATTCCTTTATTCTTCCTGACCTTGGAATTAGCCCTCTTTTCATTCCTGAGGTTGTTTGTGGGCACCTTTGTTTTTCTTGCTTGGGTGATCTTGTTGAAGCTTTAATCTCTGTATTTTGTATTTCTTTTTTATTTTCAAAGTATTCTTCTTGTCTTATGTTTTCAGTCTTGTCCCTCATTTGGGTTTTTTCTAACATCTTTATTCACATTTTATTCCAATTTAATTAATTAATTAATCTTCAGTTTTTCTCCTCTTTTAAATACAAGTAATTTGAATTTATAAATTTCCTTCAGATTTCCACATTGGTTTTGGAACTTAGCATATTTACTGTTATAATTCATACTATTTTTGTCTTAGATTTTGAGATATCAGAGGTCACTTAACATTTCCAAACACGAAGCTTTCTAAAGATAGATGTGTTTTTGTTGTTGTATTTTAACATCTTCTTATGATTACGTAACACGGTCTGTTTGATGGTGATTCATTAACTTTGGCAAAGGTTGATTTATATAAGTGAGTTCTATAACAGTGGTCAGTTCTCGAAATATTTTTCTGTACTTTTTTTAAAGAGTGCCTTCTTTTAGTTAACTACAATATTAAGTACATGTCCATTAGATCAAACTTGTTAATTGTTTTACTTATAAAGATATTTTTAGAAATCCAAAGGCTGGATAAATTTACCTGTTAAGCCTCTTTGGGTTAATAAATTATTCACAATGGGCTCCCATGGATACAGGACAAAGGCGCCAGAAGAATACATGGGACCAGAGAACAGTAGCTGTCACTCCAGAGAACTGTGACACCCTGGGTTGACAGCTGTGCAGCACATCTCATAAACATTTTTGTATAAATAACTGTAAAATGTTATTATTTTATAATAAAATCTATTTTTTGTGGCAGTTTGTTTCCATTTCTGCACAGCTGTCTGGGGCACTGGTTTTGATGGGAGTAACACTGGGGAACACTCTCCCCATAAAAGCAAAGCAGAGACATTGCCAAGCAGGGGCTCAGGGAGAGGAAATTCCATGCCAAACACCTGAAAGGGTAGGGTGAGCAGCTGGCCAGGTCTGGTCCTGTAGCCAGTGTGCTGTTAATAGACAGTATGCCTGTCCCCTGTGGACTCCAAGCAGAAGATTGTAGTTCTATACCCACTGAGAAGGGGACACTAGAGACCATCATGTTAAGTGGAATAAATCAGCCACACAAGCTTAAGTATCGCATGGCTTCTCTCACATGAGAAACCCAAATCATAAATAAAGACCAAAATAAAAGATAGATAACAGGAAGAGGGAGGGTTTTCTCAAAGGGGAAGAAGAGCAGGAGATGGAGAGGGAAGGGAGGAGAGGGCAAGGGGACAAGAAAAGGCATTAGGATGTGTTACCTACAAGCACCAATTCCTCTCGAGAACTATAAATATTATGTCCTGAAAATATGCACTAACAAAAATTTTAAAAATAGAAAAAAAGAAGAGGACATTCTGCTTGAGCCTTAAAAAGGTTGGTCAGAAAAAATGTATGATACAATTACAATCATATGCCCCCACGAATCAATGTTCAAATAACATAGTACCGACTGGGTTGTATGCAAGGTAGAGAGGGTACAGAGTACCTAGTCTGGGAGTTTGTTGAGAAGTAGGTGGAGTGAGTTACATGAATGAACAGATTCATTCCAGCCAGAAACCCGGTCAAGGTGTGTCTCATGCCAACCATGCATATTAGACTTCATTATGTGCTTGAGAAAGTAGGAGGGCGGAGGGGGAAATGGAGGCACAGCTAAGGTTTTAGAATGTGGTCCCTGGGCCAGCGGCAATCGCATCGTCTGGGAACTGTTGGAAATACACATTCTCTGGCTCCACCCCAGACCTTCTGAGTGGGAGACGCTGGAGTGGGGCTCAGCAAGCTGCATTTGAACAAGCCTTCTGGGAGATGCTGATGCAGTTAAAGTTTGAGAGCCGCTGGCTGATAAAGGCGTAGGAAAAGCTGGCAGGAGCAGGCGGTG